GCCGGGTCCCCCTGGTCGGCTGGAGACGGTCTCCAGCAGACCAGGGGCACCGGAGCAGCTTACGAACGGGGCTTTCTCGCCCCGACCTCCGGGGCGAGAAAGCCCCGTTCGTAAGTGCGGATCCGACGTAAGTCGGATCCGCGTAAGTCGGGGACTGCCTGTACATGAATATAGTCTCTCCTACTATAGAATTAGAATTTACAATCCTTATTCCATGATGAGAGATTTTTGAGCTAATAGTGTATCTTAATTAAAACTAATTTTTTTTCCTTCAAAACGTATTATATCAAAAAATCTGATTTAAACAAAAATCCAATTCAAATAAATAAATAATTTTTTTAAAATTTTAATCATCGATTTTTATCCACTTTGATCACAACAAAAATCTTAGGTTCACGGGGCTGTAACTGGTGGTAATGTAATTTCAGTATATTGTTTGATCTTGAATTTCAACTTCATGTATTAGGATTTAGAATTATTAGATTTCTGTCCGGGGAAATGTCAGCAAATGAAAGTCATAAGATGCCTAATTTGTAGTAGTGCAAATGGGCGTGCATGACTGATAGTCACAGATAACTGTAAATGATTTTCACATATTACATGGTATTTAATGTCTTGTGACTTAAATTAGTTGAATAGAAATATTTCAGGATAGATGAAAACAGTCCTGCTGTATTTTTTTGCTCTGTACTACCCTTTTATCCTCCCCATGCTTTTCTGATCTGATGAAAAAAGATCTCAGTGTAAAGCTAAGGATGATGTATTCAGTCCATGTTATGTTTTCTCCCTTTTCTGTTTTTTATTAAATAAGGTTTTCTTTATCTAATTTGTATGTGAGATCTCTTATTTTCAGCCAAACTATAAATCAGTAAGATTCTGTCCTAATTTATACATTCATGCAATCCTATTGTTGTCATGGTGTCATATTTAGAATTAATATGAGAGTTAGATTTGAACCATATTAGACCTACTTACTGTTGCTTATTGAATTCAGAACTAACTGACAGAAGCCTAAAGCTGCTCTACCATTTCTTATAGATGTTTTAAATGGAAATATTATAGAATGTAGTTAAGAATTAATATTTTAAAAAGTCATTAATTACGGGCACAAGAGCAATTATCCCAACAGATGGGACAAACAGGAAGTATGGAGACCACTGGCTTAACCAGAAAATATTCAATTACCTGAAACTCAAAAAGAGTCATACAAAACGTGAAAACTAAGTTACTTCACAAACGAGTAGGGACAGAATTAGAAAGGCCAAGGCAAGAAATGGGATTCAAGTAGCTAGGAACATAAAGAGTGACAAGAAGATATCTTTAAAATACATTATATGCAAGAGGAACACCAAGAACAGGTTAGGCCCATTATTCAATGAGGGGGGGAAAGACCAGAACAGAAAAAGCAGCAATAAGCATAGTGTTAAATAAATGCCTTTTTTTTTCGTTCCCAATTTCACTAAAAAAGTTAGTAGTGATTAGGTGAGTGACTTTGTGAACATCACTATAAATGGAGTAGGATTTAAGGCTAAATAGGGGAAGAACAAATTAAGAACTTCTGAATCAAGTTAGATGTCTTTAAGTTAACAGGTCCTGATAAATATCTCCTAGAATATTAAGGAACCAGCTGAAGAGATTTCCAGGATATTAGCAGTTATCTTTAAGACCTCATGGAGGATGGGAGAGATCACAGGGGATCACAAAAGGGCAAATATACACTATCTAAAGAATAAGGACAACCCAGGGAATTAGAGGTCAGTCAGTGTAACTTTGGTACACAGAAACATAATAGGGCAAATAATCGGTTCGCAAGCAACCAGGAGAAAATAAGGTGATAAGTAAGAGTTAACATAGATATGTCAAGAAAAAAATCACATCAAAACAGCCTAATATATTTCTTTGACACGGTAAAAATGGGGGAATCAACAGATGCATCTTTATTTCAGTAAGACTTCTGATACTGTCTCATGTGAACGTCTTATAAACAAGAGAAATATAGCCTAGATCGGGGTGGGAAAAAGGGCCTCCGTGGGCCAGATACAGCCCACCAAACAGGTTGATCTGGCCTTTGGAGGCCTTGCTGCTCTCCTGCCCACAAGCCAATTAGAGCCTGGGGACGAGGGAAGCACACAAAGTTTCTTCTGCCCTGACAGGGCACATGGCGCTTTGAAGCACCGTGCACTTCTGGCATGGTGGGAGGAGACTTTACCTGCTCCCCTGTCTCCAAGCCCTGATTGGCCTGGAGCTGGGGGAGCATGGGAAGTCTCCTCCCACCCCCAGGGGAATGGGTGCTTAGTTGGGGGAGGGGGACAAAGGGGCTCTCCTGTCCTCAGACCAATCATGGTCTGTGGGTGGGGAAGCCTGGAAGCATCCTGTCCCTGTCCCTGTCCCTTCCATTTGAGGAGTGCCCCTTCCGAGGCAGTCTGGGGCCATTTCAAAAATTTTTGAAGTGTCCCCCGGAAAAAAATTATTGCCCACCCCTGGCCTAGACGAAGCTACTATAATATGGGTGCACAGTTCTTTGGAAACTGTACTTCAGAGAGTAGTAATCAATGATACACCATCAATCTGGATGGATATATTAAGTGGGGTCCCACAGATATTTGTCTTAAATCTGATTCTGTTCAGTATCTTAATAAATGTTTTGGATAATAAAATAGAAACTTCATTTATAAAGTTTGTGGCTGATAAGCTGAGAGGGGATGTCAGTGCTTTGGAGGTCAGAATTAGCTGTCAAAATAATCTTGAGAAACTGGAGAAATGGAGAAATTAAAAAAGGACAAATACAAAATATTGCACGTAGGAATTGTACAAATAAAAA